GCTTTTATAGTAGGAAGAGCAGGTTTTTATACTCACCCCTTCCAAATTTGAATACATTCATTGTAGTGGTCACATTTATTATACTGAGATTTTAAGAGGCAGTTTAAAATAGTGACTAAGCAGTTAAGAAAATGAAAAGCAAGCCACAGGCTGGGAGAAAATATTTGCAGAACATACATCTGACAGAATATGTAAAGAACTCTTACAACTCAATAATAAAGAGGCACCCAATTAAAACAGTGGGCAAAAGATTTGAATGGATATTTCACAAAAGAAGACATGCAAATGGCCAATAAGCATATGAAAAGATGCTTAACATCACTAGTTAGCAGGGAAATGCAAATTAAAACCACGATGACATGCCACTACCAACCTACCAGAATGGCTAAAGTTAAAAAGACTGACAATATCACGTATTGGTGAGGATGTAGAGCAATTGGAACTCTCATATATGACTGCTGGAAGACAAAATGATACACTCGTTTTAGAAAACAGATTGCCAGTGGATCCAACAATCTACTACCAGGTACTTGTCCAAGAAAAATTAAAACATATGTCTACTCCAAGATTTATACTTGAATGTTCCTTGTAGCAGTACTCATAATTACTCCAAACTAGAAGCAGCTCAGATATACATCACTTGTTGCATGGACAAATAAACTGTGGTATATCCATACTATGGAATACTACTCAGCAATAAAAAGAACAAAATATTGATTCATGCCATGATCTGGATGACTTTCAAAAACATTATGCTAAGTGAAAGAAGTCTAACACAAAAGATTACATACTGTAGGATTATTTTTTTCCAATTTTTATGAAATTTTAGAAAATGCAAAACCACAGTGACAGAAAGCAGATCAGTGGTTGCCTAGGGCTGGGGGTGGGACAAGCAGATCAACTACACATATGCCCAAGGAAACTTTTTAGGGTGATAAAATATTCTGTATCTTGATTGTGGTGGTATAAACTGCCAAAATTCATCAAATTTTATACTTAAAATGGGTGAATTTTATTGTCTTTAAATTAGCCCCAATGAAGCTGAGGGGAATTTTTATATTTTAATTAGTGGTTAAGGACCTGGACTTCAGAGTCAAATAACTCTGGCCATTAGCTGTGCCACCTTGGGCGAGTTATGTAACCTGAGACTCAGTTTCCTCTAGAGTAAAATGGAGCAATAGTAGCAACCTCATAGGGTGATTGAGAGGATTAAAGAAATGGTAATCGATGTAAAAGGCTTAATACAATGTCTGACAGTTGTTAAATGCACAAGGAATGCACCTATGCCTCAACATCTGCTTCTTCCTGAAACTCTGAAAAGCTTCTGCCTCTCTGGACCCATTTCTAAGCAGGTTTTCCTCTTGAAGGATATCAAAGGGGAAAGGTAAATGGTTGGGGCAAGGGGGGAACAGTTTTTAGAGAGAAACTGAATCTTGGCAGGTTTGCACTAAATAAATTAGAGCAGGCAGCAAACTTGTGGAAGAGCTGTAACCCGTACGGTTCTCAAAAATGCCTTTTTTGTCTCTTTCCTGGGTGGTGCCGTAATCCCAGCAGTTCTGAAGAAGTGAAAGTCCTTTATATAAGTGGCCTTAATCATGTAGTGCTGCTTGTTTACATCTGAAGGAGACTCAAAATGTGACAGCATTTGAAATAGGAGTGTGTTTTTTTTAATGAGTGTTTTACAGAACTGTATTTTTAGCCATGTTGGCTCATGTTATATAACCAAGCCGTCTCGTGGGACACCCTAAATAGAACTTGCAATAGCAAGAGATGACAAAAACTGGTATAAGCTCTTTGACTACAAGGATAATCTAATTGTGGGATGATGCTAATGATACGGAAGTTGCTTTCCTCCTTCCCTTGAAGAAATCTGATTCAGGCTGGGGACCTGCAATTTTCCTTTGTGTACTTTTAATAATAAAAATTAAAAGTTTAGGCCTCCAGTTTGCCTTCCCTAAGAGCGCAGCGTGACACATGTTTGCATTTTGTTTGTTGAACAAGCATTTGGTGAATGCCTACTGGGTGCCAAATAACTTCCCTCAGGGAACTTGGAGACTCAGGATGGGGGAGACCAGTAAACTGACCACTAGAATGTAGTATTCTATAGAGATGATCGAGGGCCATGGTGGCTCAGTGGTAGAATTGTCACCTTCCATGCAGAGACTCAGATTCGATTCCCAGCCAGTGTACCTCATATGCAGCCACCACCCATCTGGTAGTGGAGTCTTGTGTGTTGCTGTGATGCTGAACAGTTTCAGCGGAGCTTCCAGACTAAGGCAGACCAGATAGAAAGGCCTGGCGATCTACTTTAGAAAATCAGCCAGTGAAAGCCCTATGGATCACAACAGTCAGATCCCATTGTGCATAGGGTTGCCATGAGTCAGGCTGACTTGACGGCAGGTAACAACAAGGATGACCAGAGAGTGCAAGGAACACAGAGAAGGAGGGAGCGTCTGGCATGCTTCTGTGAGGAAGAAGAGAATGGGCGAGGCTTCTTGGGAGAGGTCATGTGTAAGCTGAGACCTGATATGAGTAGGAAAGGGAGAAGAATTTTCCAGGCAGAAAGAATGTGTATGAAGACCTGGAAGTAAGAGAAAAATGGATGTGACTGGTTACATCTGGGGCAGAGAATTTTTTGTTTTAATTGTGATAAATACATGAGTAGCAAAACAGTGTCCCCTAAACGTTGTCTTCCTTTCCTTCTTCCTCTCGCCTGGTAACCTTTAATAAACTTTGATCGGTCTATATTTGCCTACTCTAGATATTTCATATAAGTGGGATCATACAATATTTGCCCTTTTGTGTCTGACTTATTTCACACAGCATAATATTTTCAAGGCTTATCCATGTTGTCATATGTATGCGTCAGGACTTCACTTCTCTTTATGGCCGAGTAATATTCCATTGTGTGCATATACCACATTTTGTTCATCCATTCATCTGTTTGGGGCAGAGAATTTGAGATGAGAGTTGTGTCAGATAAGGCCAGACAGGTGATTGAAGCAGGCATAATTAAGCCCATTTTGATCTGTCACCTATACTAGATGAAAGCACTGATCTATGAGGAATCTACCTTGTCTTTCCAGGGACTCTGGAGCCACACTTGTCAGGCCTGCTGTGGACAGCCATGCTTATCTCCTTGGCCATCGTGATTGCTCTCCCCAAGCCCCACGGCATCCGGGCATTAATTGCTTCCACAATCCTCCGGTTGATATTTTCAGTTGGGTTACAACCCACATTGTTTCTTCTGGGAGCTTTCAATGTAAGTATGAATAACTTTGTAGCCAATTTTTTGTTAGTAAGCCCATAGGAAAGCCTTCCTTTCTGGTCCCTAGAATCTTGGCTTCTGCTTTCCACACAGAAAAATGTTGGTTGGGTCAAGTCGTAAAATAGCAGTAGCAAAAGAGCTTCTCATGGTACCATGAGCCCCTTAATGCATTGTCTGGACATTGAATATCTCATTTTTAGGGAATATTGCTCTCAAAAGTTAGGCAGAGAGAGGGATAGCAGTTGAGATTTAAATCAGTTTTACCAACCTGGTCAAAGGTTTGCTGGGAGAGGAGATTTTAGCCAATGAGTCAAATCATCTAATATTAACACAGTACTCACGTCTGTGAGGACCACATAGAAAAAAGAGGCAAAGGAAGAAGAATTGCTCAAAACACAGAGGTGAAGCAGTTAGAAAAGTAAGAGGACAACCCGGAAGAGTTACTTAAGAAGTCAGTGGTGATATTTGGAAATGCTTTTTCAGTGTAGGTGAGGGATAGAAGCCAACTGCATGTATAGGAGGATTCTTAGGAAGTGGAGACAGCTGACTGGAGACCACAAATTGGAGAGGTTTCCTGGTGAAGGCAAGGAGAAAATTTCAGAGATTTTTGCCCTGAACATATAAGGAAGCTGAGGTCACTGTGCAAAAATGGCAAATGATATTGCAAAATAATGTGGATGATAGTTCAGTACAACAGTACGTGTTCCAGTATGGGTATTCAAATAGCAAGGCAACAAGGACTTTAGAGAAGAGACTACTTCAAGCTGTCAAGCTCAGGGGAAGGAGATAGAGTTGAAGCTATGTCTTAACAAATGGAAAAGACCTGGCCAGAAGTAGGGATTGAGAAGAGCCCTTTTCTGTAGGTCCCGTAGACCAGAGCAGAGCAGTGGGGAGCCCAGGGTGTTGTCAAGAGCCAATAAAGAGTCGAGTGTCACCTCAGTTGTGGTTTATGCAGCAATATGGTGGATCCTGATCCTGTACAAGTAGCCCAGGGCACTGAATTTTAGGCTAAAACAATTGGATTGGATCCTCCAGATTAGCATTTCCAAAGCATGTTCTAAGTTAATAAGTGTTAGGTGAAAAAGGTTTCTGTGGTCAAATCAATTTGGGAAACACTGGGTTAAACAAAATTAGACAAGTTTTTTACTGCAGGACTTTCAGAGACTTTACTATGCTAATATGCAGTTTGAATCTTCAAGAAAGGGAAGCACTATATTTGTGTTTCCCAAATTTATTTGACCACATTGTTTTTTAAGTATCTCTTGGGATTAGTGCTATATAGAATATGTTAGGAAATTGTTCCCAGTATTGAGAAGTGACTGAAGTTTTTCTGAGCAAAGAAATGCTATATACAAAGAGGTATTCTTGAGAAAATCCTTTCACCAGTGACATGTCATGTGGATTACAGTGGGAAGGGGGTGGAGGCTGGGGGACCATTTAAGGGGCTCTAGTGGTGCTTTCGATTAGGTACAATGAGCCTGAGTCTTAGTCATAGTGTAGAAGTAAGAAGGAAGGTACAGATGTCAGAGATACAAAGGAAATAGTGACATATGCAGGTGTAGGTCATAGTCTCATACCTAAAAAAACGTAGGGCCTTGATTGAGGCCTTTTGCTTCAGGCAAAGGAGGTATTATTGTTTTATTGGGTGAAGAAGGAGGTACAGATTACTCCAGATTTTCAGTCATGGATGACTGGGAGAAAAAGAATGCGCACAACTAAAGTGAAGTCTTGCAAAGATGTCGTTTCAGGCTGAAAATTCGTTTAAATCATTGACTCTGTGGGCTTGAGGTGACAAATTATTAATATTCGCTCTGGCATTTGGAAATGCATGCCCAGAGTGCTAAAGAGATGTCAGGGTTGGAGAGGGAAAGTATCACCTGCAGTGAGAGGAAGCTATTTAAGACAGAAATACAACATAAAGACAGGAAAAGACTCTCGATGGTTCCGACGTTGTCTTCTATGGGCTGTCTAGTTCTTTTGTTTCTCTGGCCTTGAATCACTTCTTTAACACTGATCAACTGGGGGAAAGACTCAGATGATTAATTGTCATTTATAATAACATTAGCTGGGGTGGGGAGCTGAAACAGCTATAATAAATAATTACTTAGAGGGAAAAAAAAAGACTAACACGCACATAGAGCATAACAGAAAAGAAAGAGTAGCTATGGACACAAACAGAGGAAGGAACATTGGAAGTCGAAGAGCTTGAGAAATAGGACAAGGCAGAATCTAGAATCACGGGCAGCCAAGGGCTGGGAGAGTGGGAAGAAGGATAGGGTGGTTAGCCATGTGTTTCTGTAGAGAGCAGGGATTAGATGGTAAAAGCAGATAGGGAAACACAGCTGGATTTATCCTTGCAGAGGCCCTTAGAGACTTTTCCAAGAGTGTCTTTAGCTGAGAGTCGGGGCTGGAAGCCAGATCTAAAACTAATTAAGCAGAGTCAGTAGAATATGGAGACAGCAGGTTCAGACCAGGCATAGGAGATATTTGCTGGTGAAGCCAAGGAGAAACCTCGGGCAGTAGTTAAAGGGGAGAGTGGATTCAAGTGAAGTGGATTGCTCTTTTATTAAGACAGCAGAAACCTGGGCATATTTGAGGTCCTGTAATGTCACCTGGAGCATTGTCTTTGTTGTTTTGTTTTGTTTTTTTAATTGAAACCCTATCAACACAGATCACCCAGAATTAATACTTTTCCACCCTCCGAAAGATCCTACACTAGTAAAGTTTAGAATATTGAAGAAACTGGTGTATTGAATGTTTTGCTCGTCGGAGAAAGCCAGAAGTTCCCTGTAGGTTTTAGCTTCCTCATTTATCTGATTTGCTGAAAAGCTCACTTACATTGACCTACAAGATTAACTGGCAGAATTTCCCTCACACCTGTGGCCAAGATAGCTAGGGTGGCAGAAGATGGTTTTGCCAAGTGCCTCAGAAGATCTTTCTCTGCAGCCTTCTCCTGATTCAAGTTTTTCTGTCAACATGTTACTAGAGATGGACTTTCAGGCATGAGGTTTCTATCAACGCAGGGCTCCATTACACAGCAGATGAATTAGGACTCCTCTGTTGCAAGTGTCAGAAAATCTAACCCACGCTAGCTTACATGGAGGAGAAAATGTATTGGTTCATGTGCTGAGAAATCAAGAGCTTAGCTTCAGGCGTAGCTGAATTCAGGGGCCCAGACAGTGGTATCAGGGCACAGTTGCTCTTTCCATCTTTTGGCTCTGTGTCCTCTGTGATGGTGGTGCTCTTGGGTCCATGGTATGGAAAGATGGATGCCAGCAGATCCAGAGCTTACATCCTCTAGGGTTCAAGATCAGTGGAAAAGGACAAAATTGTCTTATGCTGAAGTCCCAGGGAAGTTCTCGGCAGATATCTTTGGCTGCACTTGGTCACGTGCCTGTCACTGAGCCAGTCAGTATAACCAGGGGAATACAGTATTCTGATTAACCAGGGTGAAGCTCCCTGCAGACCATAGGACTGATATAGAAATTAATGGATTCCCCAAAGGAAAATGAAAAGTTATTACCAGAAGAAGAGAGGACAGTACTCACCCTGAAGTTCCTTCTTTTTTATTTAAAAAAAAAAAAAAGTCTCATTTTCCCTGTGAAATCAGGAGCAATTAAAGACAAGAACTGGCTGCTTTCCGTTGAATTGCAACTCTATGATGCCTAGAACGTAAAAGAAATTCAGAAAATGTTTTTAATCATGCTGATCACAGGGTGTGTGGACTGAGGTGAATTCTGTGTTTGACTAACTCATATAAGAATATTAGAAATTATTCATATCTCATTTTGAAAATCATAATCTTAGTATGTGCTAATTTTGTTTTTGTCATATACAAATGCTGTTGGATTACTATTAAACATGAAGTTATTTGACTACCATGTAATTTGTAATATGCCTGAAAAGCAAAGTAATGAAATGACTTATATAAGCAAAGTGGTTCTTGGAGGGTTTGGTGGGCACTTGGGGCAAAAGGAAGCTGTTCCATAGTTCAGCTTTTGTTTGGTCCCCAAATTTATGATACCTTGTAAGTTGCTGTCGCGGTTACTAAAATATGTTTGTGTGAGAATGACCATTAGCTCTCATGAAGAATCTGAAGTTGAGCGTCAGCCATGTGATCTCACTTTTCATGTCCTCCTTCTCAGGTCTGCAATAAAATCATTTTTCTGATGAGCTTTGTGGGCAACTGTGGAACATTCACCAGAGGCTACCGAGCCATGGTCCTTGATGTTGAGTTCCTTTATCACTTGTTGTATCTGCTGATCTGCGCCATGGGACTCTTTGTCCATGAATTCTTCTACAGTTTGCTGGTGCGTACCTGGTGTCAGAATACTTGTTGAATACTTGGAGAGAGTCCCATGTCCTCTTTCTCATAACAGACCCTTCCTTTTCATGGTGATTGGAGTGCCTGGTTAAATAAGGTCATAGCCCCACTGTAAGCAGCATTTGGGGGCTCTAGAGTGGAAAGCTACACAGGGACCAAGGCAGCCATCCAGACCCCTGGAGGTGCACTACCACACTGCATACCGTGTACAGCAAATCTTTTACTTCTCTTTAATAGATGATGCCTACAGTCTGGTTTGGGAGATGTTTCCTCTGCATGCACTTTTGTTTTATTTCTTGGGCTCAGCCAGCACTTGCCGAGGAGAAATGTTTTTGAGACTGTCATCAAACTGTTCTCGTGGGATTCGTTTCTCAGGGGAAAATGTAGTGACCAGGATAAGAGTAGGAGCTACTTTCAAAATCCCATGACCCATGCATGGTAATGAGCTCGGTAGATTGATGGGTCCAGGAGACCTTTCTTTTTTTTTTTTTTTATTTTTTTTAATTGTACTTCAGGTGAAGGCTTACAGAACAAATAGTTTCTCATGAAACGGTAGTACACATATTGTTTTATGACATTGGTTAACAACCCCACAACATGT